TCGAATAAAACATTGACATACATGATTTAGGTACCTTCGTCTTACACATCTTTTAATTTATTATTGACATTTAAAATTTCAATTTTGAAGCTGCAAAAATACTAATTATTAAATTTAAATGAATTTTTTTTTTAAATTTCACTCTTCTTTATATTAAATCACAAATCCTTCCATCTTCAGTTTCTTTACTCATAATAAATCATTAGCAAAACTAAGTCCGCTGTTATAAACTTTAGAAATATTGCTGTGCCTTATCAATACAGTTTTTTTTTATATTAAAGAAAATATATCTATAGATACTATAAAAAATTTTTCACAAATGATTTAGCATTAAAGACAGCAGACAAAACTAATATGATTATCAAAGCATCAAGGCCTAAAAAATTTAATAGCAAATACAGTACTGTATATGTTTCATTGCATCTCTGATTCTACTCTACAAAAATATCAACAAACGACTTAATATACAAACTCGTTCTTTTAATCAGTTCCATCGTCCATTGCCTTTACATTTTCACACTTACCATTAAGTTAACATAGTAATACATATTTCATTGATTTTAGAAACAAAAGAACACTGTATACTGCCATTGACTATTAGTCACAGACACTGCTTAGTTTTATGATATTTTCCTTGGTTTAATTTAATCAGTGGTGTGGCAAAACACAAATAATAAATGTATCAAATAAAGTAAATGTGAACTGAAACCTATATTAAGATAAAATAAGAGTATTTTGTATTAGCATTTGATAATTAAATATAGTTACATACATAGAACAGATTTTAGAAAACAAAAATCAACGTACAATTTAGTTATTGATGATATTCTTTAGTTTAATTTAAGCATAGGTTTAGCAAAACACAATAACTTAATTTACCTAAATATACATATAAAAAACAATGTGATGTGCAAGTTATGTTAAGTTAATCTAACACATGTTAAGCAGTTAGAATTGATTTAAAGTAGCCTCCAAATTCATATAAAACATCTATACTTTGTAATTTTAATACTGTTTCCATGAAAACATTATTTTCATAACTTAAACGCTTTAAAAAATCCAAAGCAGAGCCGGAGTTGATACAGCAACGGTAATAGATTTTTTTTCTATAATCATTGACATACAGTAGTTTCATAATAAATAATCCATGATAAAAGGTTAGATTAAATTAAACCTACCTCATAGTTATGGAAAATATTATATTTAATTTCTTTGTATCAGCTGTCTGAAATTGTGAAATATGCAGTTTAGCAGTTATTCTTGTTTACATTTAAATGTCAAAGCAAATGAAAAACAAACATTGTTAATGTTCTCATCACAGCCATGGAGACCAATCAATATTTACTTTTAAAATGTTCACCTCAGAACTTTTAAAGCCAAAGGGGCAAAGCCTACGGTCAGTATCGAAATGTGAATAGTCCTATAATGGTCCTTGGTATGGTAGCTATATTTTTGTATAATTTAAGCCCAGTTGGTTCAGTAGTGTTTGCACCTATTAGTAATACACATACAGACACCATTAGACTTTTATATAATAGTATAGATATAGATTATTGGCATCTTAGTATTGACTATTGTTCTGTATTTCCACGAATAAGTTATACAAGTTATAATGTACTGTATCTAAATATTTTTACAAGTTTTTCGGAGTATTTTCCCGTATTTTAGTTTGATTGCTTATGTAAAAATGAATTATGGAAAATGAAATCTTTGGAAGATGAGTAACTATTTCATACTTGTAAATTTAAAGAGCCAAATCTTCCTCTTCCCTTTCCCCGTTGCAAAAGCAATGCACCGATAATGCCAACTCCCTGAACGGGTACTCTGCTAGTAGGAAAATCTGACAGGCTTGTCAAAATCCAATCAGACCAATTGAAATTCGCTTCTGCAGGGCAGCTTTAGTGGGGGTATTTTTTCATATTTTTATTTGATTTTATTTGTTAAAATCTGTTAAAACATCAAAATTTCGATGAATTTATCTTGTGTTTAGGTGAACCGTGTACTGTAACCAACAACACTAGTTCACAGTTTAATAAATTTTACACTGCACTAGATTCAAAGACATTGTTTACAGTCTTGTATACATAACACCTCTAAGAGCATAATATACATAGTGGTGCAGCTAGCGTTGCGTTTTAATTATAACTGTGAAATGCACTGCAATGCATTGCGCATGACGTGACCTTCCATTGCAATTGTTTATAATGCTAAACTAAACCAAACTGTTTGCATGGTTTTTACTTCAAATTCACAACGTATCTTTTTTATTTTATTCTAAAAATAGTGGATGAGTAAAACAAAAATGAAGATAAATAGTTATAAGCACATTATAAGCATATTATAGATAGGCACATTATAAGCAGATTATAAGCATATTATAAGCACATTATAAGGACATCATAAGCACATTATAAGAACATTATAAGCATATTATAAGAACATTATACAGGGTGTTCATTTGAAAACTTTCCATATCTGTTGTGTGCAAAGGTAAGGCTTTTAACACTTGTTTGTTCTCATTTCCACCTAATTTGGACATGCCAAATCCAATAAAATTATTTTCAATTTTGAAAAATGCCCCAAAAGGGCCCAATTTGGGGGGTAGGGGTGCTTTTTGAGAAATTTTCAAATGTAAACATGGGTTGTGTGATACATCAATTTAAAGGTCTAATCACCCCGATCATTTTGGTGCAAAAAAAGTTTAAATATCTTTAACCGTATTTACAGGGTGGGTCAAAACGTTTTAAAAAAGGACTTTGAAGTTAAGTACCGTATTACCCTAACTACTGAACGGAACAGCGCCAAATTTCTTTCCAAGCTTATTCTTGAGCTACTCTTTAAGATAACTTGTAGTAAGGGCATTTTCCAAGTTATTTTCTAATTTTTAAAAAATCTCAAATTTTAAGAATAAAAGAAAGCTGAAAACTCAAAATTCTTAAATAACAATGTATAACAAATTTCATACCACGAGAAAGGTCCTTTTTTAACAAACATTTTACGTATTTAAGTTTTCTTTCTATCTCTTACCGTTTAAAAATTGCAGTGGAAAAACATAATTTTCCATGGTAAAATTATAACTAGTTTTCTAATAAAACACATTGCACTTTGTTCAACGATGTAGTAGGATTCATAACAAATTGATCGACTACTTTTACGTGTGTCAGAATTCATCTTGGACCCTTCATCCTGTTCTTTTCTCATTGGTAACTGAGCCAGTTTCAGAAAACTTCCTAACTAAATCATTTACAGGCCATATGACTCAAGGTTATACCTGGATATCTATTGTTAAACACTTTGCAGTTATCCTGGAACACTTTTGTTATGACCAATAAGTAAAATAAAGTCTATTTTTTTAACCACCATATTTGATTAGGTACTACAGGAAATGGTACTTTTGAAATTAATACTACCATTGACTAGACAATGGTACTACAGAAAGCGGCCCACGCTTGGGTTTTTCTCATCAGCTATAAAACTTGTTTTTCACAAAGTAAAACGTAATGACTTGTTTGCCTATCTGCCTAAAAATAATTATGAATTGTTTCCTTCAGATATTGCACCATTTAATGTGTCTAGAGACGAATTTTGGCTGTTTTATTAGAAAACTAGTTACAATTTTACCATAGAAAATTATGTTTTTTCTACTGCAATTTTTAAACGGTAAGAGATAGAAAGAAAACTTAAAAACGTAAAATGTTTGTTAAAAAAGGACCTTTCACGTGGTATGAAATTTGTTATACCTTGCTATTTAAGAATTTTGAGTTTTCAGCTTTCTTTTATTCTTAAAATTTGAGATTTTTTAAAAATTAGAAAATAACTTGGAAAATGCCCTTACTACAAGTTATCTTAAAGAGTAGCTCAAGAATAAGCTTGGAAAGAAATTTGGCGCTGTTCCGTTCAGTAGTTAGGGTAATACGGTACTTAACTTCAAAGTCCTTTTTTAAAACGTTTTGACCCACCCTGTAAATACGGTTAAAGATAATTAAACTTTTTTTGCACCAAAATGATCGGGGTGATTAGACCTTTAAATTGATGTATCACACAACCCATGTTTACATTTGAAAATTTCTCAAAAAGCACCCCTACCCCCCAAATTGGGCCCTTTTGGGGCATTTTTCAAAATTGAAAATAATTTTATTGGATTTGGCATGTCCAAATTAGGGGAAAATTAGAACAAACAAGTGTTAAAAGCCTTACCTTTGCACACAACAGATATGGAAAGTTTTCAAATGAACACCCTGTATAATCACATTATAAGAACATTGTAAGCATATTATAAGCACATTATAAGGACATTATAAGCACATTATAAGCATATTATTAACACATTATAAGCACATACGCACATTATACGCACATTATAAGCACATAATAAGCGCATTATAAGCACATTGAGATCACAAAATACGTTTAGAAACAAGAGTTAGTTTATCTGGTATGATATTGTAATATTTTGAAGTATTGTCTTGAGGACCAGTAAATAAATTTGAAAAGTTTTAAAATGCCTTTTTAGATTGTGTAAAATTGACCGGACAGGTATTTTAAGGCTTTTATTTATTACTGTGAGATCGTATTAAACTATTTTGAATCTGATTAATTACAACACATTAATTAAGTACTAATGTGTGCCCCTATGAGAGGGTTTATCTAAAAACTGTTATCTTTCGGCGAAATTAGATTTTTTTGGCTAGATCAAAGACATTTCATTCTAATATTAGTTTGATAGTTCTAGTTCTTTAATAACTTGATACATGGGTATTTTGTACACTATAACCGAAACCACTTTCAAGGAACCAAGTGTGTATATCATGATGGACAATTTACATATGTTCACAAGACTCTGTTCAGTTAATCAATCAATTACGACGTTAGGACAAGACAAGGAAGAGAAGAGGGAGGGAGTTAGGGGGGTGGGTTTAGAGGGTAGCTAGGTAGTTCTCGAGGTGGCCACCAGGAGCGGTAGCGGCGGGGTACAATCGATTTTGGGTTTTTGGTCCAGTGTGAAGACGGCATAGGGTAGGTCGCCCCTTAGTGTCATCTGGTAAGTTTGTTTCTCTATTATCTGTGCCATCTTGTTTACACCTTGAGTGTTTAGCTGTTGTGTCTTTTTATTATGTGCGTAACAAGTTAGTTTGTTTATAAACAATTTAAATGGGTCATAAACATGTTTTGTTTATTTCGCCGGAGTGTGTTTATTTATAAATAGTAGACAGATCCGTCATGTTTTTTTTTATAATTTTAATGACAATGAGTTTAGTTCGGTGTTGATTGTATAAATTGACTCAAGATGGTGACAATTCATGATATGCACGTCTCGTTTAGTGAATTAAGGAAATTATATTTACAAGCATTATACATTTTTGTTCTTGCAATTTCATTGTTGTCATATAAACCTTTAAACTGTGTTTTAGTTTGGTTGACAAAATGGCGTATACACAATAACACAGTTAAATAAGTTCCATTTCGTTTAGTATATTTTGAAGAAAAAAAGAAAAAAAACACAGTGGAGATAGAAAAATAACACGTAATACTACTAGTAAAAAAATAAATGAGTGAATTGATATTCTTAATACTCTAATGCAAGTACGAGAAGCATACTATTGTTTCACAGCTTGAAGATGTGTTTAATATCATTCAATGGCCATTCTGTTTCTGTTAGGGAAGGTCGGATTTTCAAAAACCGTCCTCCCCTAACACGAGTGTGCCAAACATCTTATGTTATCGATTACATAAACTGTTTGGATCGCTGAAGCACTTAATTGATATGTATGATATTAGTAATGGTTTATGTATTACCGTATGTGTATTTCATGAAGATACACATTTATTGTGTTTATACACATCAGATTGAGCGATGTTTTGTGTCATGTCCTAATATTATGAAATACGAAATGTGTTGTGGATAGAGAATACCGTTATACTCTGTATTTGGATCATCCGACATTTCTATATTTCTAAAAAGTATCATTTGTACTCAAATTTTCCAGTTTATATAATTTGGAATACTGGCTGGATAGAACTACGCCTGGGTATATTTGACAAGTAGGCATACGGTGTACTATATCAATATTGATAACGTAAGAATTTTTATTTTGACAAACCGTATTCTGTTTAAACATATTTGCAAGTATAAAAGTTTGTTAGTGGATACTATTTGAAGTACTACATCGAATAGTTTTGTGATAAGATAGAAACATGCGCAGATATATACTCATCTCCATTCATACTTGGCTTAAAATACCTACATTCGTAGCATATGGTCGCCATTTCAGATTAAAATGTTTAAATTGCGTATCAACTTTGATACTACAGTATATGCAATAATGTAATATGACCAAAGCAGTATCCGCCGCAAAGACAGATTATCTTTGCCAATATTGTTGTAGGCAAATCTAATTATTGTTTGTGCAGCTCACTCAAGCTGTCCCAATATACCCTTTGAAGTATTGTTTGACAGTTGATTAATGACCTTCTTGTTAGAATTCCCCTCAAGTTTCGTCTTTACCTGAAGTCATGGTTTGAGGACAAGAACTTGTTGACACGTTTAGGTAACTTGAGAGATTTATAATGTCATTTTAAATTGAAATGTTTCCTTTTGTTTTGTTCTAACTTGTAACTGTACACATATCTATACAGGTTTGTAATACTGGATCGTGGTCATTACAGTATAGAGGTTTATACAGGGTGTCCCGGAACTCTCTACCAATATTTTAGGGCATTGTTCCTGGGTAAGAAACATATCTAAATATCATATTTAAATTGTCCGGAAGTCCTTAGTTACTCAGATAGCCGCCATTTTGTTTTTTTTCACTTATTAATTTTTTTCTGAAAATTGGTTAAACATACGAAGTTGAAACTTTGCACAAACATTTATGACAACTAGACAAAGCTACAAAAAAATTATGACGATTTTTCAAATTCACAAAACAAAATGGCGGCTGTTTAAAATTTTGTTTCTTAAATTACTCGAAAACTGTTGATGTTACAAAAATGTTACAAGAATAACTTTTTTAAGGCAATTTTATTACAAATCGATCGACACCTTAATCTTTAAGATCGGACGAGTATTAACTGAGATATGGCAGTTTTAGTGATACGTGACCGCTTTCAGCATGCGCTGCAACTAATATCCGGCGGTCACGTATCACTAAAACTGCCATATCTCAGTTAATACTCGTCCGATCTTAAAGATTAAGGTGTCGATCGATTTGTAATAAAATTGCCTTAAAAAAGTTATTCTTGTAAAACTTTTGTAACATCAACAGTTTTCGAGTAATTTAAGAAACAAAATTTTAAACAGCCGCCATTTTGTTTTGTGAATTTGAAAAATCGTCATAATTTTTTTGTAGCTTTGTCTAGTTGTCATAAATGTTTGTGCAAAGTTTCAACTTCGTATGTTTAACCAATTTTCAGAAAAAAATTAATAAGTGAAAAAAAAACAAAATGGCGGCTATCTGAGTAACTAAGGACTTCCGGACAATTTAAATATGATATTTAGATATGTTTCTTACCCAGGAACAATGCCCTAAAATATTGGTAGAGAGTTCCGGGACACCCTGTAGTATGGGTTTATAGGGGGTTTTCTTGTATACAACATAATTTTCAGACTAGAGAAAACCTCTCGGAAATGTCTGCAGAAATTTAATACGATTAATTATGCTTATTAACCGTTTGTATTAACTAATTGAAATGAGATAATTCTTACACATGACGAACATACATGTAAAATCTCACAATGTTCCCGCCCGGAGACAGTTAAGTGTGGAAACGATCGGCGAACTCAAAACCATGTTTTTCCTACAGTTACCTAACAATGTACATGTTCTCTCACTGATTTGAGAAAGCAAAGTGGCCAATTCGCTCATCAGTGAGACAATGTTAACATTGTCTCACTCTAATTACTTTGTCTCACTCCAGATTTTCAACGTGAAGGCACGAAATAGTGAGCGCGTAACATGCAGGCAACGCCGTATGCGCGCGAAATACGTTGGCAGCACTGGCTGTAAATCAGCTGGTCAGCTGTTGTACTGTTGTATTTGTCACTTCACATTAAACGTTATATTAAAAGTTCACTTCTGTGTAAAAATAGGTTATGTTTCTTCACCAATTTATTTGTTTTATGGTAACTGTAGGAAAAGTATGATGTGCAACTCGAGTTCAAAGTACAATTGCATCACTCGAGAAACCATTCCTCACTCGCCTACGGCTCGTGAGTAAGGATTTCTCTCGAGTGAGTCAATTGCTCACTTTTCTCACTAGTTGCACAAATAGCTATTGCCTACGAGAATAATAAAGAAATCTATTTCATTTGTTTTCCTACAGTTGCCTAACAATGTACATGTTCTCTCACTGATTTGAGAAAGCAAAGTGGCCAATTCGCTCATCAGTGAGACAATGTTAATATTGTCTCACTCTAATTACTTTGTCTCACTCCAGATTTGCAACGTGAAGGTACGTTGTTTCTTTACCAATTCATTTGTTTTGTTATATGGTAACTTTAGGAAAAATATAATGTGCAACTCTAGTGCAAAGTGCAATTGCCTCACTCGAGTAACCATTCCTCAATCGCCTACGGCTCATGAGTAAGGATTTCTCTAGAGTGAGGCAATTGCTCACTTTGCTCACTAGTTGCACAATAGTTATTTGTGCAACTAGTGAGCAAAGTGAGCAATTGACTCACTCGAGAGAAATACTTACTCACGAGCCGTGGAATGGTTTCTCGAGTGAGGCAATTGCACTTTGCACTCGAGTTGCACATTATATTTTTCCTACAGTTAACATAAAACAAATAATTTTGTAAGGAAACGTAACATATTTTTAAACAGAAGTGAACTTTTAATATGACATTTAATGTGATGACAAATACAACAGTACAACAGCTGACCAGCTGATTTACAGCCAGTGCTGCCAACGTATTTCGCGCGCATACGACCTTGTCTGCATGCTACGCGCTCACTATTTCGTGCCTTCACGTTGCAAATCTGGAGTGAGTGAGACAAAGTATTTAGAGTGAGACAATGTTAACATTGTCTCACTGATGAGCGAATTGGCCGAGAAAACATGTACATTGTTAGGTAACTGTAGGAAAATAACTATTTTCATCATTAAAGTTCAGTCATGGAGAATGTTTTTACCGGAGTACAGAGTATGTAATAACGTTATGTCTACCTTATCATCATGACATGGAAACACATTACAACCTCGTATGAAATAATGAGTCTTCCGTCTTGTTCGTCTTCCTACTTATCCACCTTTCTTCTCCTTGTCATTTCTATATCTTCTCCTCCTGCGTCTTTAAATTCTTCTTCTATTTCCCTCTCCTTCCTGATCTCGTTTGTTTTCTTTCTCGAATTCTTATTTTTCATAATCTTCTCATCGCTTGCAATAGGTATACTGATAAACTGAAGAAAGACAATACGAACGCTTTAGAGAGTCAATCAATTCAGAAATGATACTTTGTGGAAAATTTAATGTCCTGAAAACGGATAACATTTCTGCGCAAGAATAACAATCTACCGATTGTATTTTAAAAGCTATCTAACTCTTTCCATTTGTTGCTCTACGGTTTTGAGGTCTTGTTTTATATGCTTAAGATATGCCACAAAACTCACTACAGTATTTAAAAAGGCTGTATTGTTTAGTCAAAATAAAACTCATGAAGAAGTAAAAATTTCTAATTGGCCAAGTAATCAAATTCAACAGAACCCTCTTAATGAATATTTTTGTTCCGACCGACATAATCTCCTTTAAAATGTAGTTGTCGACTTCAATGTTCTTTCATTTTCCTGGATCTTATGTTCCAAGTCGTGAAGTATATTTCTGACTTTATTAAAGTTAACAATATTTACTTATCACTAAATATAGGTTGATAATTTTAAAGATATCAATGGATGTCCAAATAGAACATGTTTACGAAAGACCAATAAGCAAGCGCTAACTCTTTATCTGGGTTCTTTTTATGACTTTTAATATGAATTGGTGTCCAATTATACATATTGATGCCAACAAAAATTTCCAATGTTGCTGTAAAGACCTTGTTAT